CCCTGAGAGCTTGCAGGCCAGATAGCCTGGATGACAGAGCAGCAAAACCTCAGAAGGGGTACAAGGCAAAGGCTGACATGACCTCTGACCACTACAGGCATTGTGGCACACCTGAGTCCTCATACACAAACCACACACACACACACACACACACACACACACACACACACACACACACTTGCATATATACATAGTTAGCACAATCGTAAACACATTTACACAAAGATAATTTTATTGATAATGGTAACAATAATAAATACCCATAACCTAATAATGCAGTATTATCATCATTGTGCAGTCTCCTTTTATTCATGTGAACCTTCTGTTCTTTCTCACTTCATGGCATACGCTTGTCCCACATCATAAAACCTCCCCAGCTGCGTAAGGTTCCTTCACAGAAGACTATGCAAATACATTTGGCAGTGTCCTGTAGGCTGGTGACTGTCACGCACTAGCATGGTTCTAGTTTCCTTTTCAATGCATAAATATTCGTGAGTATTGCTCTACAGTCTTCTCATTTTTACTTACTTCCTCAGGAGTGCACAGGCTAGGCCAAAGTCTAAGGCTTTGAAGCTTGAGTGACATGTTACCAAGCACCTCCCTGACCTTTTCTGATGACTCAGTGCTGCCCCCTGCAGTGAGAAGGAGCATCTCCCAGCAGCTGCACCTCCCAGCACCACACACTTGGACGCTGGGGTCTCCTCTGTGTATTCAGTAGACTGGGAGTTGGACCATATTTCCCAAAGATATGAGAATTTGATTCTGACTTGAGAATACTGCCTGGTGAAATGTTAAGTCCCACGCTCTTGGGCCACTTAGAGTCAAGGTCCTTTCATATACAAATAAGTTTTGAATCTATGTGCGACTGATAGACTAATGAGATTTATATAGCTAGAATGTGACAAGACATACACAAGCCATCTTTCAAAAAGACTGAAAACGCATGCATGAAAAACCATACTCTTCCGTTGTAAATGCTATTCAGAGACATAAAAGTAAATATTCTCAAGGAACAGATGCTCCATCTTACACCAATAATACATTTTTCCCAAGATAAGAAAATTGCCTGGAAAATGCTCATGTTTATTGGGCATGAGAGAGAAGCATTTCTATAAATCCATGAGAAAGTACCCTGGTTGGCTGAGTTAATGATTTCCCCTTTGGGAGAAGTATCTTTCATCAGGGCTGCTCTGAACCGCCTGCATCTCTCCAACATCCAGCCAGTCCCATTGGAGAAGCATAAAGGTGGAGGTGAATGGCTCAAAGGCTGGGGAGAGAGAAGCTGAAGGCCCTGTTTTCTAAACACCATATGGGTCTCTTCAGTGTTGGCTGCTTGCCCTCCAATGGTCATGGAACCAGAGAGAAAGGAAGGAAAGGGGGCTAAAATGAGGTGGTACCCACCCACACTCATAAGAATGCACACTGTTGGAGCACTGGAACACTCATCCTAGCATGATAGATCTGTGCAGAACAGAATGGTTCCCTTGTCCAACACATGGAAGGCCAGTGACTGCTCTGCCTGGGGTGCACATCCTGAAGCACGGCAGAACAGGAGCGTGGGTCCTGGAGAGGCAGCACACAGAATGAATAACAAAGCCAGTAAAGCCGAATGGCATCATCTTCATCACAAGTGGCCTTTTCTCTGGGACTATAAAATACATCTATGCCCTCCCTAGGATCTTCAAAAGTCCCTCAGATTATTGTCCAAAGCTATGATGCGCATAAGGTCAATTGAGGAGCAATTCTGTTTGAAGACCTGTGATCCAAAAAGAACATGTTACTTGCTATACACAGATACAATATATAGCACAGAGTCCAGGAGCAGGGTAGCCAGTGAGCAGTCTCATTCAGGACAGGAAGGAAGGATGCCCACACTGTCCATCAGTGTTACAGGACACTGGCACAATCCTATCATACAAAGGTTATGAAGTTCCCTATTGAGGGGAAAGAGGGCTCATGAAGGGGCCCTGACTCCCCATTCTGGGTACAGTTCTGCAGTATTCCTGGCTCCAACTTTGGGAAGTCCTTCCTTTTACATTATCCACCTTAACCAAATCTAAAAGTGACACTGGAGAGCAATGCCCTCCCCAACAGTGGAATGACTCTCCACCTTCATTCCACCCAGGAATAATGAGGGCTTAGGGTTTTTCCATCATACTTATAGGCTGTTAAAATTCTCCCCTCAGAACTATCCACTTCATTTCATGGTCAAAACCAATCGTGCCCTTAACCCCAAATCAATAGGGACAGAGATGTGTACCCTACTGGAAGCCGGAAAGCATATTCTAGAATAGCACAATGTGCTTCATCTATGGTTCTTATTAGATTATAACCCATGTCCTGCCCTGTATGATGTAAAGAGGAAAGAAAATCTTTTTTGAGGTCCCTTGATATGCAGTCCCACACCACTGTGCCAGTGTCTGGGCTACAGAGTCCCCTTAGCACATGTTCAATCACAAGGTGTGGCTCTTCCTCTGTGGCCAAGGCTCATGAGTGTGAGGGAACTTCTTGCCCAATATTGTCTGGGTTTTGGTTTTCCAAGTCTATGTATGCATCCAGAGCATGTGGAAGACCAATTCAAATGACATATTTTGCCCCCTTCATGAAACCCCTTCCTACTGCAAGCTTCTGAGGCCTGAAAAAGAAGAATCATTAGAAATGTTTTGGGCAGTCCTAAAGCCAGCCACCATCCCATGCCGTCTACAAACAGAAATCTGAGAAGCGCAATGATGGGGTTTGTGGGGTGTGTGGATTCCGAAGAGAAAACAGAGTCTGGACTGCTAGTCACAGAGGACATCCCAGAAGAGAAGTTGAAAGAGTTGTAGTTGGATAATGGTGTCTAGTATAGGATAGAAGGACCAAGAGAAGTAAAGAGGTTACCATGGTAATTGGTCCAGGTGAGAAATGATGATGGCCGTAAGACTGGAGTGAAGACACACTGGCCTTGGGAGCCATATAACCATGGTACAGGTTTAGTAGACTCTAAAGGCACCATGGATGTACAGCATAAAAATGTTGTGATGCTCTAAAGCTGGAGCTGAAGGCCTTGGAAGTAAGTTTTAAGAAATAGTTTGGGTAGGTCCTATTTAAAGCAGAAATAGTTTGGGTAGGTCCTATTTAAAGCAGAGTTTCTCAAGGGATCTTCAGGGAAGGGCTGTGGTTTCTCACAATCAGTCATGAACCAGCACATCATGAAACAAGTTTCTTAAAAACAGGAATGAATAGCAAAGATACAACCCAGACTATCACCGTTAACAGACTGAATAAATCTGAAATTACTCTGTGGAAGTATAGCCAGATGCCCACGCCTTCGTTCTGTCTCTGGACTTGGTAGACCTTTAGCAAGCAGGTGAGGGGCTGGGTCGGGGTACAGAACATTTAAGTAGCCTGTTCTGGAACATGACCTTGCTCCCGCACTCTACAGAGTGAGATAGACATGAAGATCACTCCCATCTGCCAGGCAAGCCATCTAGGCATGTCCTGACCTGGTGGCACAAGTTCTTCAGCGTGACAGTGACAAACCAGGAAAGGGGACATAAGAAAAGCCTGGCTGCTGGACAGGAAGCTGCCCGAAGCTTCCAAGTAGCACTGGGATGAGCCCAGAAGTATCTGCTGATGGGCTCTGACATCTGCGGATTAAGACGGAGGAGCCAGTGATCTCAGTGTTGACCAAGGACAGAATGAAATCCTCTCTGTCCCCTGGAAACTAGAGAAAATGCCAGAGCAAGACAAATTTTGGGTTACTTCGTCTGGCCTTTATTGGGAGTATATAAAGATATTAAATAGGGTTGAGAATACAAGGAGGTTTCCAACATTAAAGCAGTTTATAATCATTCCAATACTTTTACACACGCCCCCCCCAACACACACATGCACAGCATTGTGGGTATCTATAATCCTTCCCATTTTAAATCCTGACAGCCTGTCATTTAGCAGCTGACCAGGAGTTAGAGGAATGAGAGGTAGCAAGGTATGCCAAATCATAAAGGTAGTAACAGATTCCTAGCACTGGGCAGCAAGAATTGTAGGATGCACATGTGTGCACGCATGCGTGTATGTGTGCATGTGTCCTGAGTTGTATACATGACCACCTATTTTATAGATATTGAGTGCTTACTCAGTGTATGACATACTGATCGAACTCTAGAATGGGGCCGGGACATAGACAAAGAGGTAAATAATCGTTTCTCAGGACAGAGGGCTGGATGGAGGTAGGGCAGCCTCTCCACCAAGACAAACCTGAGAAGCTTCCTTTCCAGAGTCACCAAGGTAGTGAGAACGGACAGATAAGAGCCAGAACCCCAGACAGAGGGACCAGCAAGAGCATGCCCTGAGGCTTAACCAAAGATCTGGGTACAGAGATCCATGCCACCCCCCTTCTCTGCTTTTGTAGTTAATTATCTCCTTTAGTAGGAATTAAAAGGTAGTAAAAATGCTGTTGCTAAAATAAAATATAGCAAATGGCAAAGGGTCAGTCATAAAGGAAGAGAGGGGAGTCCTTACATTTGTAATTGAGTTCACAGAGTTGGTGTTGTGTTTCTTTTTAAATGGTTTCTGTGTGTAATTGTTTTTAATTGGAAAAAAGAAAGGCAAATAATTTAACGCTCAGACATTCAGAATGTATGTGCCTATGCATATCAGGCACAGGGCTAAGTGGTTGGCATTTATTATCTCATATAAACACTTTAATTGACTCTGAACTAGGTGTTTGCGTGAATAAATTCACACAGAGAAGGAAATGACTTGCCCCCAGGAGTAAACAGCAGAGCTGAGATCACACCAGAGCTGGCTTCAAAGCCCTAGTCTTGGCACTTATGCCCTGGTGCCTACCTTTGGGACAGTTAGCGTTCCCATTCTACAGATGAAGAAACCAAGGCTTAAGAAAGGTTAAGGAATGTGACCAATGAGAGCTGGCAAAGAGGACCAATCATGTCATTTGTGTGTTCTGGCAGTCAGGGGCCTGTTGTTTTAAAATCATTGGGGATTTAAATCATTAAGAATTTTTTTTTTAAGGCTTGTTTTATTTTAATGACTGATCCACCTGAAGCCACAGGCAGTCCACTATGTACACACACGAGGGAAGTTTTATTTCTTGGTCTCTTCCTCCTTGGACAGAGTCTTGATGATCTCCTCCTTCTTGGCCTGGAGACGCTCCTCCCGGCGCTTTCGGGCTTCCTTGGTCTTAGACCTGCGAGCCTCAGCCTGGTCAGCCAGGAGCTTCTTGTGGGCCTTGTCTGCCTTCAGCTTGTGGATGTGTTCCATAAGAATCCGCTTGTTTTTGAAGACATTCCCCTTGACCTTCAGATACAGGCTGTGATACATATGGCGGTCAATCTTCTTGGATTCACGGTATCTCCTGAGAAGTCGGCGCAGGATGCGCATCCTTCTCATCCAGGTCACCTTCTCAGGCATCCGAGCGTTGGCAGTACCCTTCCGCTTCCCTATGCCCATATGCCTGCCCTTCCGTCGAGCCAAAGTGTTTTTCCGGCATCGAGCCCGGGAATGGACAGTCACAGGCTTTCGGATGATCAGCCCATCCTTGATCAGCTTCCGGATCTGCTGACGGGAGTTGGCATTGGCGATTTCATTGGTCTCATTGGGGTCCAACCAGACCTTCTTCTTACCACAGCGGAGGACGCTAGAGGCAAGCCTCTTCTGTAGCCTGAGCATACTCATGGCTGCCGACGCAGCAGCGAAAGGAAAGAGCTTCAAATCATTAAGAATTTAAAGGCAGTGACGGCTAACCAATCAACCAGGCGGGGGAACCTTTTGAGCAGTAGCTCAGATTTCATGCCCTGTCACATTTCCAGACTCTTCAGTGACCCCAACTCCTGTCTCCCTCCAACAGAGGAAGACCCAGGATGTGGCTGATGAGATGGGAAAAGAAAATCAGCTGAGAAGAGCAAAGAATGCTTTCTGAAGTCTAGTTTAGGGCTCAGGTCAGTCCAGTACAACTGGCTTCAGTCTGGCTATAAGATTCCGGGGCAGTCATACACCCTCTGGCCAACCCAGCATCCCTAATGCTTCTTCTTCATGGGGGCTGTTAGGACTCAGCCTGAGAATAGCATTCCTCACTTCTCCAGAGGGCTGGTTGCAAGGATAGCAGAGCCTGCCTTCAGATTCCTGTGGATTCAGGAGAAGGAGGCAGCTTTCAGATGCTAATAAAGACAGCCCATATTTCCTGAGCCCTGCCAAGCTTCTAACTGGTACCATCTCCATGCATAAAAGCCTTGTGAGATACAGCTGCAATCTCTCCCCGTTTCACAGAAGAAACGGGGCGCAGAAAGGTCTCACAGCCTGCCAGTGGTGCAGCAGCTGGTAAGTAGAGGAGGCGGTGTCTGCACTCAGGACCAAGCTGCTCATTCTATACCATATAGTCTACCAATCCCTTGTCCCTGCCTGTGCAAAGTGGAGCCCAGATGCTAAGGGAGGAACTCATCCTAAGGAGCCACAGGGGAGAGGATTCTGGAAATACACCGATTTCAGATGTTAGTTTTTGTCACCCTCTTCCACACAGGCCTTTGGAGACTGTTTTGTACATACCAAAGATTTCTCTCCCAGGCTACCTGCCTCCAGCCCTCCTTTCTAGCCTGTACTCATATCAGGGCCTCTAGCTTGTGCACACTCTGAGTCATGAAAGGCTGCTAGGTTGTTCAAACCAGGGTTGGGTGAACTTCACATCTTCCTCCACCTACATCACACCACTTGAACTTACACAGCCCTGCGAGAGCCATATTAGAATTTTCTGTCCTTCAAATTTCTGCTGAGTCCACAGTGTGGTATGAATGGTATCTTATATTTTCTGTGTTTTGATGCTTTGATATCTAGGGCTTTGCTTACCCTGTAAAATGCAAACCAGTCAATCCATAGCCCACCATAAACTTTCCATAGCTGGCCCTCACACTGTTGCCCACCCTCTGCCTGCCCCAATAACTCAGACATGGTTACCATACCCACTAAGCAGAGCCTTGGTACCCTAGAGGCCTCTAAAATTCCAAAACTAGCCAAGGCTAGCCTACATGTACTACTGTCCTTTACTGCTCGTTCCCATGGAAGACACAGTAAAACACCTTGACTGCAGTTTCTGCCATCCTCTGCCTCTCCAGTGGCACTACTTCTTCTGTGTGTGGTCACTGGTTTCCCTTGGAAGCTGTGTGGATAGCAACATCCCCAGCAGCAATTGTATTCTGATGTGTTGGCCTTACACACATAGGAACAGTGATGGTAAAAACCTGTATTTAAGCAAACACCCTAGCCACTTCCTCCAGGAAGCCCTCCAGTTCCTCGGCAGCATAAATTTCCTCTTTGCTCCTTGCAGTCTGTTTGTTGTCCCTATCAGCCTTAAGCTGTCATGTGACTGTGGCTTTCCTGAAAGTAAGAGGCTAGGACTCTGTCTCCCATCCCCCAGGTTCTGTCTGGTACATAGTAGGAGCTTAGTAAGTTCACAACATGGGGAATAATGACAAGAAATGAACATACATGGTGATGGGAACAGCAGTAGCCTCCATGATTGGGGTTTGGAGCTCTCCCAGAGTAACTGCATTTGAGTGATCCTCGTTGTGCACCGAGAGAAATGAAACTCAGAGGAGTCCAGTGAGTTAGACCTCACATCCAAGAGCACAAGCAGAGCCAATTTAAACACCCGTCTGTCCAGATGCAGAGATGGCACTCTGAAAGTTGACTGAATTGTGCTGGATGGAGGTTCGGAGTCTTTTGTATGCTCCTAGCAGAGCTGACACCCTGCACTGGTTGATCATGGGGTAGCTTGCAGGAGTGCACTGATAATTCTAAAAGTGAATACTAGGGCCCAGGCTAGCTCTCAAATGAGTGAGTATTTAGAGCTCAGTCTGGGTGTTTTCTTGTCCTCTCTCAACACGTATGTATGTCTCTTCTTTGGCCCTGAAATGAAATCTAAATCTCTTATGCAGCATTTGCCCTCTGACTTTCACTTAACTGCTGCAGCCTTCTCCTTCCTTACCCACTGTCCCAGTTTAGATGCACAAGATGGCCACTGCTTCACCAAGATATCATGGTAGCTTCTCTTGGTGCCCAAATCCAAGTTACCAAGTTTCTTTTAGAGCTCTGAAAAATTCCTGTTCAAAACTATTCAGGGAACTGCCTTCTCACCTTCCCACTCCAGTATCCCAACATCTAGCAGATTCCCAGCTTATGGGAATTCAGAAACTTCCCAAGAGACCTGATGCTCCTTCAGCTGCCCAGAGCTAAGGCTGGGAGGAGCTGGAGGCATCCAGGCATGTATAGCTAGTGAAAGAGAGGAGATTGTCTAGGCCAAGTCTGTACCTGTCCCTTCCATCCTTCTGTGACATTCCTGAAGGCCAGGTTGGAACAGTGACTTCAAGGTCTTGGTAGAAAAGTCACTAAGCCCATGCTCTCTGGAAATCTCTGATTCACTTCTATCCAACTCCAGGCATTTGAATGTGAAATTTCTAGGTGGTTACTAGTCTCCCAGTAAGGAAACGTGTGAGCCCTAAATTTAGCAAGAATTTTAATAAAATCATCATGTTTCCAAATCCTTAATCCACAGAAAGGAGTTTAAATCCCAATGCTATTCCTCTCTTCACATCCTCAGGAAAACTGGCAGGGTAATTTAGGCCTCGTTATTAAAACAGCAGGCAGTCGACTTCTTTCTGTTCACTTAAGAAAAAAAAATTGAATCAGTTAATAAACCAGCAACTAGACCCTTTACAGATCAACAAGATTTTTGTTTACAAGGAGGACAGTTCAGAGACATTTGGGAAGCTTGTGACCCCAGAAGTGAGATATTCATTCTTACAAAGGCATCATGGGAAGGTCCCTAGGTTGGACCCTTAGGCTACACTGTCTCTTTCGAGGCTCATGATCAGCCCAGAAGCAGATGGAATCGTTTTAGATGAGGCAACAGAAGCTGTGAGGTGACAGTGTCTTTGCTAAGTCACATGTCTGCATTTGGAGACGTTGAGATTCAAGTCAAATCTCTCCAGTCTTCTAGAGAAGAATGGATCCCCAGGCCTCATGAAGCCACAGCTGAAAATTGGTGTGACTTCCCCAGGGTCACACAACTCTTCTGCAAAGTCTCCCACACTGAGCCTGGCGATTAGCCAGAACTGAGAACAACTGCTATTTCCACAGGTTCATTTTTGACGTGGGTGTGCACAGAGCCCAGGAACGGAGCGCTGGCGCTGTTGTTGTCCTCATTATTATGTTGTGTGTCTCCTCATTATTCCGGAGGCCACAAAATTACTAACTGTCCCAAAGTCAGGCTTAAGCCAACCACACTCCTTGGTCCTTTGCCAATAACAGGATTATCCCTTTAAGGAACCAGTGCAAATAGGCCTTTAAAAATGAATCTGTGAAAAAAAAAAAAAAAAGGCAGTTGTCTTCAGTTCTGGTGAATTCTCAGGCCCAGCAGGGAACATCTGAGAAAGAGTTGTGTGGCCCTGGGCAAGTCACACCAATTTTCAGCTGTCAGCTTCCTCATTTGCGCAATTAAGGCAATAATGTCCCCACACTAGGTCCCCGGGAGGATTCAATGAAAGCGCAGATGTGAAAGTGCTTGGTGGATGAACTGACCAATAATCATTTCCTGGCGCATCATTTAATAAGTGGTAACTTAACAGCAATGTATCTTTTGAAATGCTGTGTTTGATGGTGAAATAACCCTGTTTTTTAATTCCCTCTCCCAAGATTCTGAGTAGTTGTTGCAAATTTATGGAAACCACCGCCTCTGGAAGGGCAGAAGATTTCCTTGAAGCTCCATAAAATGAGGAGGAATAGACATGTCATGGGGTAAAGACTAGGTGGCATGCCTTCCCTTCGGCTCTCTCAAGCCCTCCTCAGCCTCTTTTTTCAAGAGCTGGAGGTGTTTATGTAAACTTCCTGCCTTCCTCCTCTCTCAAGGACGCTGTGCTCGGAAAGCTTCATCGATTTCTTTTACTGGATAGTGGCAATTTTGCCTGTCCCTCGTAACCCTCAGAAACAAGCCTTGTGAGGTCACCAAAGCAACTGGCAGTATGCTACTTTTAAAGCTCTTTTGTACCTGACTTTTCCGTAATGACCAGAAGAGGGTCCAGCCCTCCCAACCAAGGGGGTGTCCAGAGGCTGCTGGCCCGGCCTCCTGCTGGCTTTACAGCATGATTTAATGTCTGCTCTATTCTCTTTCTGTGATATTTAAAATGGGATTTTCTCATCGAAAATAGCCATTCAGATATCTAAATCAGGAAGATGGCTTCAAAGTTCATGAGATAGATGGGAGTCAATTCTGTGACCAAAGTCCATGCGGCGGAGGACTTTTACACTTGCAGACCCTCAACTCATGCGGTTGAACTCAGACCAAAGTCCCCTTTTCAAAACCATTTGCAACTCACTAAGAGGATCCCAGGAGGGAGGGGAGAAAGCAGGCTATCTCCTTGATGCTGTATCTTGTTTGGAAGGAAGCAGATTCCTCCATTGTCAGCTATGGACCAAATGCCTTGCCCAAAGCAGAAAAGCAAATGTGTTCTGTGCTGCTGTGGGGAGGGATGGCTCTGAAGGACTGAAGACAGGGTGGCAGATGGGGCAGCAACAGGGAGTTGTCGATGGGCTTTGTATTCTGGCTGGGGCTCAAGATGGGCTGCCATTGCAGCAGGAAGTTCTCTAGCCTTCTCCAGATCCTCCCGGCAAATATTTCCTGCACTAGGAGCTAGCTGTGGAGAATTTAAAAGTAA